TGGAGCCCAGCCGCTGGAGACTGCTACCGCCTTCAACGTAGGACTCGAGTGCCAGCACGTCAACGACGACGATGCTTGAGCTCGATATTGGTGCGCTCTCCAGCTGCCCGCGACTGGTTTCGCTATACGTGCCGGTCACGACGGCGCCGTCGCGTGGCGCCTCGCCTGTCGGTCGTCCGCCTGCCCAAGCCCAAGGCTAGCGAGTCTTGCCTCTCGTAGATACATGTAAGGTTGACGTCATGTGTTGACGCGAGCGACGCGGCAACGGCGCCAACTCGTGGCTCCGTCTACAAATCGCCCATGCTATTGCATCGGTTAAGAGCATCACTCAGGGGCGTTCGCGATGTGCATGAATGATAGTCCAACACATGTAAGCCGTTTGTTACATCCACATTGCACATTGCAGAGACGTCGCCTATACCAACTGCCTATACCATGTATACCATGCGATTTCATCATCTTGCCAATTCCGAGAGCATCGGAAGACGCACAATTACATTTGCTTTGGATGAGTGACGACGAGGACAAGACCACTCTGCAGACGATTGCACGTGATATTGCGAGGGTCCACTGCTGCCTAAGCGAGGCTAACGCCAGGTGCAGCCCCACCGTCAAGCTCGGTGACCTCACCGTTTCGTCGTGGCCTCTCTCGACTGAGACTGCGGGCGCTCTCATGGCCAAGTACCCCGAGCGTGTGCCGGCCCAGGACGTCACGATCCACAACAGTTACCACTTTTTCCATGGCGATTTTTTTTGCGAATGTGACCTGCTCGGCGAGCTGGATCCCGCGCCAGACGACGGCAACTACTTCTCGATGGCGTACAACACGAGGCTGGCGCATTTTGCGATCGACTTGACCGGCGACGCATCCAAGTTGAAGCCGGCGACGAAGCGACGGCCTCGCCATACCTTTGCAACTGTCATCTACTTCTTCCCGTCCAACTGCGTCGGTGGAGCCGTCACCATCTCAGACAACGACTGGACGACGACGTTCGAGGCCGTCGACGGGTGCTTTCTCTCGTTCTACAGCACGTGTGACGTGACGGTGGCGCCCATCACGTCCGGACACCGGGCTTGTGCTGTGTATCACGCTGCGTACGACTTGGAAGAATCGGGGTGGCACAGCAAAGTGCCCAAGGCTTGGTACGCGCCGCGGCCGCTGCCGTCGGTCCAAGTCCTCCAAGACGTTGCTTGCCAATACGATCCGGAGGGCTACATTGGCGTCGCGATCTACCTTGAGTCACCCAGCTTGACGCCGACGTTTGATTCGCTCACGGGTCGTGACAAGGCGATCGTCGATCGGCTGGTGGCCACGGACGTCTTTGACATTGTATTTGAACGGCCGACCCAAGACGACAAGAAAGTCACCGAGCCCATTCCGCCGCTGCCCGAGACGTTCCACCCATTGTGTGCGACACCGGCGCTCGTCCAAGAGATCTACCACCAGTCGCCAATCAAGGAGTTTGCAGACGTCTCCGAGGCGCACGGTAGGGTTTACTTCGGGTGGCCCATTGAGAACGACGGGCTACAAGTGTACGGCTGCTTTCTCCTCGTTTGGCCCAAAGCGGCGCGCGTGCACATTCTGGGCTACAACCGCTTGATGTCGGTCTTGCGTGCCAACTTGGACGGTGATATGACCGACGACCTCGGCTTCGGATCGCTCGACAGCGTCTTTACAGCTGCCTTCCGGTACTTTTACCCGCAGCCCCGGGACAAGTATGGTCCAGACCCCGACCAAATCACGTCCGCGATGGCGTCTCTGCTCTACGACCACGGCGACGTGGAGCTCATCGAAGCATTTTTGGACGTGCACGTCCAGTGGGCCGACGACGAAGACATGGCAAATTGGATTGTCGCGGTGCTTCGACGCTTTGGCGGCGCCCGGTTCCAGCATCGACTTCAAACGGCCGACATCACGATTGAATTCGCTGCTCATTTGGTGCACCTCGCGACCACCGGCGACGCCGTCGCGCACTCGATCGCGCGTGTCTGCATCCCGCTGTGGTGGCCACGTCTCTTGTC